TTGTGTGTTTTGTGTTTTGTATTTTTTGTGTTTTGTGTTTTGTTTTTTGTTTATATTTTTTTGGCAGCCAGTTAGGAAATCACCCATAATCCTCATTGTGAGGCTGACCTGGAGAGAGAGAGGGACAAAGAGAGTGAGAGAAGAAAGTCTGAATCTACTCAAGTCTGAGTCCAGCTTCCTAATTTGCAAGAATAAGGAGAACAGAGGGACATTTTAAAGGGTATCATGGGAAGGCGGGAGGGGGGATCAGGATGGAGAATACATGTAAATCCACGGCTGATTCATGTCAATGTATGGCAAAAACCACTACAATATTGTAAAGTAATTAGCCTCCAACTAATAAAAATAAATGGAAAAAAAATAAATAAAGGGTATCATGGGGATGCAAGCAACAAAACCTAGACAGTCTTTTAAATATCTAAGTCTTCACAGCCTTCTCCTTTCTCGCAACTTACTGATGAATTGAGTTTCTCTTGTGTGGAGCTGTCCACTGCCCACCTCGCGGTCCTGCAGAGTGCATTGGGAGGGGCCTAGGGTGAGAAGAGTACTCAGAACACAACCCTTGGCTGCAAACAATCCCTGAAGAGGAAAGAAAAAGTGCTGCTTCCTCCAACTGGACCCAGCTGGGACCCAGGGAAGCCCCACTTACACCTTCAGCTGCCTCTGTGCAGCCCCCAAACCAAATGACTACAAGTGGCCTCCTGGTGATGGTGATGTGTATCTCTCTGGGGAGACAGGGAGATTTGGAGAAAGGGCCATGCACCCAGGGAGAGAGGGGGCAGAGACGAGGGCAGTCTGACCCCACAGACTCTGGGAGAATATTTTCAGTGAGTTCCTCAGCCTGCATGGACCTCCTCCTGCTCCTGCATTTTTTTCTGAAGGCCAGAGATCTGGGATTTGTTTGAATGAGATTGAGATGACCATTGCAAGCAATAGATACAGACTTGTTTACCTGGAGAGTGAAGGGAATCGCTGGCACTTGGGTTCCTGCAGGAAACTGTGTGTCTCCCATGTAGGGTCACTTAAGAGGAGCATCACCCCACGCCTCTCCTGCTGCTCCACCCACTCCCCCGCCCCTTGGCAGGCTAGCTGTACCAGTAAGCCTGACCCTGCCTGGGCTGGAAGCTGGGCAAGTGGCAACACCCTCAGCCCTGCCTGGGCGCCCGCCCCTCTCTGTTTAATGCGTGTTGTCCCCACTTGCTCGTGTTTACTGAGCACTTGCTATGTGTTCTGGGCATTGAGCCAAGCATTTTACACTCTGTCAGGCTGGGCTCTGAGATGCAAGCAACAGAAACGAACTCTGGCTGATTTAAATAGGAAAAGAATTTACTCAAAAACATCTTTGATTACTCATCGCTTCTCTAAAGGGCCTAAAAACCAGGTCTGGGACTACGCACTCAAGAATAATTCCCACAGTGATGTTGCTAAGGCGGTCCAAATTTGGACACTACTGCTGTGGGCTGGCCCTACACTTGGAGCTTAGGCCACTGATGCCAGCTGGACTCTGGCCACCCAAGGAGCATCAGAGCTGCTGATTTCTCATAAAACTGTTGCAGCAACCAGAGATTACACTTCAGGGTTCCCTGGAGTCTGGGGCAGGTGCTTCCGATGGCAGAGCCCAGCCTTCTGCGGTGGGAGATGCGCTCTGCCACCACAGAGACTCCCCACACAGGGCGAGAGGGAGGCAGGTGCTGGCCCCAGAGAAAGATCTGTGTCTATTTTACGTGCGTGCGTGCTCAGTCACTGCAGTGATGTCCAACTCTTTGCAACCCGTGGATTATAGCCTGCCAGACTCTCTGTCCGTGGGATTTCCCAAGCAAGAATATTGGAGTGGGTTGCCATGCCCTCCTCGAGGGGAATTTCCCTGACCCGGGAATCGAGCCTGCATCTCTTTTGTCTCCTGCATTGCAAGCAGGTTCTTTACCACTGAACCACTGGGGAAACCAATGATCTCCTTCATCTCCTTTAAATCTTGTGAGAACACTGTGAAGTAAGTGAATGCATCACCCTCATGTGTCACAGCAAGTACTGACGGTAAGGAATAGTAGCCAAGGACACAGATCTGGAGGCCAGGGTGTAGGATTTAGCAGTGTCTGACTCCAGGCAGTTCATCTCCTAACCGTGTCATCATCCCTGGGGCTCCTGTTGGTAGCACAGCCATTCAGAAAAGGGGCCTGTTTCAGAGAGCCCCTGCGGGAGAGGAGAGGCAGAACCGGAGAGCAGGGAGGGGAGAGAATGTGTCTGTGTTGTGTGTGTGTGTAACTGAGTCACTGTGTTGTATACCTGAAATTAACACAACATTGTTAATCAATCATACTCCAATGTAGAACAAAAATTTTAAAAATGTATATGAAACAAAAAAGAAATGTATATGAGCTTGTATGTGTGAATGTGTGTGTATGTGTGATGTTTTGGGTGGAACAGGTTAAGGATGTCTCCTGGACTTTGTCCACTTTGGCTTCCAGAGCCCTGATCCTAACTGTCTGATGGCCAGGCCCTGTCAACTCTTTCCAGGGATGTGTACACAAGGATACCTACAGGACCCTCTACCTCATGACTTTGCAAAGCTGACCCAAAGTGAGCTGCATGCATGTTACTAGCACTGGTCACTTACGCACTGTCCTGTATGCTCACTGATGTCCACGCCCTAGACGGCAGCTCTGACCCTGTGCAGTTTGAGATGGATATTTAGAAACAGACTCGGAAGGAAATGCGGGGCCTTGTGAAATCAGTTCCCCTGGAGAGCTTCATGTCCTGCTCTCACAGCTCAGTACTGCAGGTGCCTGGCATAGGAGCAGGTGCTTAAGACCTGCTTGTTGAATGAATGGATGAATGTATGAGTTGGGAGTGAGAGAACAAATGAACCAGCTTTCTTGTGGATGACGCCATAATGCCCTTAACCAGAGTGCTCAGTGGCCAGGCGGGATACTCCTGAGGCTGGAGTGTCCCTTCTCCTCCTGATCCCCATGTGGTCCTCCTGAAGCTTTGATGTTCATCTCTTTGCTTCTCCTTGCTTGTTCCCACATCTTGGTCTTTGCTTATTCATTTGCTTAAAAGACTCTTTTGGAGTCTGAAATCTGTCCCCATTAGTTTCTACAGGAAAGCTTTGATTCCCTCCAACAAGCTCTGAAAACCCTGAGCAAGTGGAGGAGCTGCTCTCCTGCCTGGAAGGGGCGGGCAGGGTGTGCAGGCTGGGCTGAAGCCGCCAAAGACAGGAGGAGGCTGGGTCTGCTGATGGCATGGTGCAGCCCCCCACCAACCCTGACCGAGGGGTCAGGAAGTCCAGGAAGGCAGAAAGCCTGGGTGGGAACTGTGCTGCAATTTCCCTGACTGCCCAGCATTTCTCATACAGGACTCGATGAACAGATTACTCCTTAGAGACCCAGGATCTCAACTGGCCTGGAGAAGAACCCAGTCTTTCAATGATGTATGTGTTCAAAAGTGGTAACCTGCTCACTACATCCCAGAGGGTCAGCCACAGCCTTGCTCTCCGTTGCCCAGAACATCGCACCCAGGGCTTCAAAGCTTCATTCATGCATGTCTGGAGTGTTGGGATTCGGAGAGCAGCCACAGAGGCTGTTGGCCGACCCAGCCTGCAGCCCCATGTGCTGGAGGAAGGCTCCAGAAAGGGAAGCAGAGAGTTTCCAACCTCAGAGCTGGTGTCTGTGCTCAGCATTACCCTGAAGGCGCTGTGCATGTTGGTTTCATCTCCCTTCTGCTTGCGCCTGCCCTCTTTTTTCCTCTAGCCCAAGCCTTCCCTGGCAGCGGCAGGCAGGGAGAGTGGTGTCACAGGCAGGCAAGCTGGACGGGGACCAGCTGGGCTGGGAGAGAGTGTGACCACTGTCCACTGGTGCTCGCGGTGGGGTATGGCTTTCTCCTGGGCAGCTTTATGTCTGTATCTTTCAGCTCCCACATCTTTCCTCTCCAGGGAGTCCTGAGGCACGTACCACGATCCCTAAGAGGAGGGTGTGCTGGCATGTTTGAGGAAGATCCAGGAGGTGGTGTGGATGGCGCCAGGGGCCAAAGGGAAGGATGGGAAGATGGGACCAGAGCAGGGCTGAGGGGCCAAGTGTGGGTTCCAGAAAAACTCTGCAAGGCACTTTAACACACTACCTCATGTAATCCTCTCGCACCAAAACATTCAGACGTGAAGGGGATTGTTATCCCCATTTTCCAAATGAGGAAACCAAGGAACAGGGAGGTTAAATACGTTTCCCACAGGGCACAGAGCCAGGATTCCCACAGTTCTTCCCCGGATTCTGCACTCCTGGCCACTTTGCTAAGTGGCCTGTACAAGTGGCTCATCAGCTTTAGAGCCGGACAGATGCAAATTCCAATGCTGGCGGACTTCCCCGTGGTCCAGTGGATAACACTCCAGGCTCCCAATGCAGGGAGCCTAGGTTGGGGAACTATGACCCCACATGCCACAATTAAGCCAGCGGGCCACAACTAGAGAAGCCAGCGCACTGCCACAAAGACCCAGCGCAGACAAAATAAATAATGGTAATTTAAAAATTCCAACGCCAAGCTACAACATAGGAGCTGCCTGACCCTGGCAAGTGAATTCCCTCTGTGCGCTTCTGTGTTCTCGTATCCCACTGCTCACAGGGATACAGTAAAGTATGAAACAGAAGTGTATGTGGGGCTTAGCAGGCTCCATGGGCCATTGTCTCCTCCTGATCCCTCTTCCAGGCGGGTGGAGATAGGTTCCACAAGCCAGGTGTAGGGACTGAAGTGTGAGGCGCAGTGGGCAGCTCAGTCACAGAAACATGGGCGGGGGGAGGCGGAGGGCATCAGAAAGCGAGGGAGCCACTTTCTGTGAAGTCACCACTGAGAGGACGGGTTCTAGAAAGCATGGGGCTGTGGTTCTTCATTCAGGAGGATGAGCACAGAAAGAAAAGGGATGGATGGAGAAGAGGAAGTGACAGCCACAGGGAAGATGTTCAAGTTAAAGAAGTGAGCTCAGATTAAAGTGGAGAGCGCAGGAGCAGAGGCACGGAATGCTGGAGAAGGCGGCAGGAAGCGGGTGCGCCCAGGGCCTGGGTCCGACACGACCGGCCGTGACCTCCACCCTGCTGGCCGCGCTCTGGTTGCAGCTGTACTGGCTGTTTGCAGAGCTTGGCACAGTGCGTTATGATTTGCAGAGCTCGGAGCTGTTTGCAGAGCTTGTCACCCCGGGGGTCACCATTTGGAGAGCGTGGCCCTGTTTGTCATTTGTGGAGTCTGGTTTTATTTGCAGAGCTCAGCGACGTCAGGAGAGGCAGGTCCTGTTGCTGTTTGTGGTGTCAACCGAGGGCATTCCTCTGGGTTCTTCTGTTTGCTGAGATCCTCACTGTTGACGCCATTATCTCTGGATGTCCAGAGTCGGTCACTGTCACACGTATTGTCCGCAGCCCCGCCCCCATCCCATTTGCAGAGCCCATCACAGCTGGAGCTACGGTGTCTGCACTGTGGCTTCCACAGTGTGGAACCAGTCACTTGTGCTACTATCACTGGGCCTCATCACTGTAGTGTTGCTGTCTGTGTAGTGGTGTGCGGAGCCTACTGATGTCTGTGCCTCTGTTTGCAGAGCCTCTCACGGTCTGTGATGCAATAGCAGACCCTGATGCTGTGAGCACATTTCCCATAGATCACCAGAACCCTACCGAAAGCCCATCTCTGATCTCCGGCAACCATGCTCCCTGTAACCCAGACACCTGCTCCTACCTCCCTCCAAAATATCCTCCAACCTTCTTTGAGCACCAGCTTCTGGGGCCTCCTAAGACCAACCCCCCACCACTGCCTCCACTCCCCGTCCCACCTGAGGGTCACCACAACCTGCTTCTTGGAGCTTGATTTCATTGCAGAGTCCAGGCACCGTAGGATGGCTTTGGGCCAAGAGCACAGGCCAACCTGCTGAGGAGCCAGGGATGGCAGGAAGGAAAAAAATGATGCAGAAAGAGTGGAGCCATCAGTAAAGAGGAAAGGGTTTTCCTTCCTCATCCGATGGGGCTTGAAGGCTGTCACTGGGAGGGAGATGGCTCCTTGCCCACAGGGTGTAATTAACTAAGGGCAAGGTGCACAAAGTGCAGACAGCTAGCCCAAGTGATAAAGTGACAAATCAAAGCCAGTCCCTACCAGCGACGGAGACTAGGGGCACCCATCGCAGGCATGCACGGGATTGCTGTGTTCAGTGGCAGGAAGCGGGCAGGGTTCTTCTGGAGAGAAGGCAGGGACTGGGTATAAAGCATTTGTGGGTGAAGCTCTGGCTCCTTCAGACCTCAATACTTTGAAGTTCAGTCCCCTATGGGAAAGCCCAAAATACCCATCATGCCACCAATCATTTCTCATAGAACAACAAGAAATGAGACCAGGTGTTAAAGGGGGAAAATTGAAAGAAATGGTTAGAAAGAAAGGTAAAAAAAAATTTTTTTAAGCCTAAGAAACCTGTACACTATTGAAAAAATATATAGAAAAGCCTCCCTGAAAGCCTGGAAAAATGTGTGCTGAGGATCAAAAAGACTAGTTTCTAGAAAGAAGGAAAAAAATACCCTCTGCATGACTAACTAGCAAGAAAAAGAGGTCATACATGCCAAGGGGAAGGCACCAGTGATGTGTGTATAATCTATTCATATATTTACATTTTATTATTAATAATTAATCACAGGAAAAGGTCAGATATAAACTGGAAGCCAAATGTCCAGGAAAACAGTGTGAGAAGCCCCTCGTGAGGAATTCCAGAGCCAGTAACAAGAAGGCCTTTAAACACTTCAAAGTCAGGGAGGCAGGGGAAGGACATGAGGGTTCACAGTGCAGGAGGTAATCCAGGGATGAAAAGGGGCCGGAGCTGACTCTGTGCATGGCCCAGAGACCCTGCCCCCAAACAGCCTGTGATGCTGAGATTAAATGGATAAGAAGAAATCTTAATAACGAGGGTAACTCTTTACATCATTATATGGCTTACCTTTTTTTTTTTTTCACTTTGCATCCTCTTATTTGATCCACATAAGTGTAGGAAAGAAATCTTCAGTAGCCCCATTTCATGGATGGGAAAACTAAGATCAAAACTGGCAAAGATAATGAGAACCTACTCTACAGCCCAGGGAACTCTACTCACTGCTCTAAACGGGAAGGAAATCCAAAAAGAGGAGGTACATGTGAACATCTAGCTGACTCACTTTGTTGTCCAGTAGAAATTAACACAACATGGTAAAACAACTATACTCCAGTCAGATTTTTTAAAAACTGGCAAAGAGGCAAGAATTCTCAGCTAAGTTAAATCAACATTGAATTGAGAGCCTGAGGCTCTGACCCTAAGACCCAAAGGCTTAGCGTGATACCGTGCCATCTTGGTTTGGTTTGGTTTCCTGCAGAAGTAGACACCCAAGACAAGGATGTGGGCACATGTAGTTTACTTGGGAGTGAAGAAAGTTCTGGTAGGGACAGAGAAGTCAAGGAATCAACATGAGATGTGTCATCAAGTTGGTTAACACAGAGGAAGTTGGAGCTCAGCTGCATGGGGCCCTCGGGTCACAGGGGGCACCGAGCCTCAGAGTTTCCACCCGGAGGGTGAGGGGGCTGAGGGATTTATCTGCCAGCTTCACGAGGCCATGGAGGGTTGCTCCCAGGGCTTTAATTCCCAGCACCTCTATCCTGTCCCAGCAGACTCCAGACAGGCCCTCGGGCACAGGGACCAGTGCTGACACTTGGCATTTGGGCAGGGTAGTGGTAAGGGCTGATGGAACCCGGAGGCCCTGCCAACACCTGCTATGCACGCTGCCCAAATTCTGCCTTTCATTCAGAAATGGATATAACTAGGCCGTCAGGACGGGTTGAAATCCACCTGGTCCTCCTAGATGAACTCGAGAGTGATACTATGAAGCTGGTGTGCAAATTATTTTACTTGTTGTTCCGAACATCCACCATCTGAGCTTGTATCCTGGCAGATCGCCAACCATCCTTGTTCCTAATAAGTGGATCCTCAAGATACACGTTACATGTAAGATAGATATTGTTGTTGTTGTTGTTATCTGTAAGATAGTTAAGATTAAGCCCACATCTCACAGTTGAAGAATCTGAGGTTCTGATAGATGAAATAATTTCTCAGAATCATAAGGTAGGGGAGCGGAGACTGAATTTGGACCCTGGACTTGTAAAATCCATACGGCTTTCCCCATACCTCACAGAGGTGGTCCCTGTAAACATGAAAAGTGACATTTTACTTTCAGAAACCCTCTTCCCATCCTCTCCCCACGGGAGAAGAAAAAGCAGGAAGGAATAGAAATGGGTAGAGTGCAGTTTAGGCTAGTTTCTGGGAACCAGGTTTTCACTGAGATGAGAAGGGAAATTGGAAACAGAAATAGACTCACAGATTTAGAAAATGAACTTGTGGTTACCGAGGTGGTGGCAGTGGAGAGGGATAGTTCAGGTGTTTGGGATTGACATGTATACATTGCTGCATTTAAAATGCAACAAGCCCTTACTGTATAGCACACGGACCTCTGCTTACTGTCCCATAATAACCTAAATGGGAAAAGAGTTTGAAAAACATAGTTACATGCATATGTATAATTGAATCACTTTGCTCTACACCTGATATTAACACACTGTTAATGAATAATGTATGCGTGAGTCCTCAGTCGCTTCAGTCGTGTCCGACTCTTTGTGACCCTGTGGACTGTAGCCCACCAGGCGCCTCTGTCCGTGGGATTCTCCAGGCAACAAGGCTGGAGTGGGTTGCCATGCCCTCCTCCAGGGGATCTTCCTGACCCAGAGATCGGATCCACGTCTTGTGTGTCTCTTGCCTTACAAGTGGGTTCTCTACCTCTAAGCCACCAGGGTAGCCCATAAAATTTAAAAATAAAATAAAAATTAAAAAGAAGGGAATTTGGAACCTGTGGGGTGGTCTCTCTGACACCTGTCCACAGCAAAGATGTGGTGGGGGAAACTGTGGGAACTGTGATGGTCCAGGGGTGTGGGGGGGGGCGGGAGGGGGAGGCTACTGGGCATAAGCATAAACATGCATGGTAGGGTGGGGAGGGGATGGACTGCCCTGATGGTACAGTGGTTAGGGCTTCGCCTTCCAATGCCAGGGGTCAGGGTTTGATCCCTGGCAGGGGGGCTAAGATCCCACATGCCTCCAGGCCAAAAACCAAAACATAAAAACAGAAACAATATTGTAACAAATTCAATTTGTAAACAAATTGATAAACAATGTGTAAACATATTCACATTTTAAAAAACTTAAAAAAAATATGCACAGGGGACCTAGATGGAGAGAAGCTTTTGGATGTGGATTCAGTCCCTGGTGGCTTAGAGGGTAAAGCGTCCGCCTGCAAGGCGGGAGACCCGGGTTAAATCCCTGAGTTGGAAGATCCCCTGGAGAAGGAAATGGCAACCCACTCCAGTACTGTTGCCTGGAAAATCCCATGGACGGAGGAGTCCATGGGGTCGCAAGTCGGACACGACTGAGCGACCTCACTTCACTTCACTTCACTTCAGATGACCAGAGAGGTGAAATAACCCGTGGAGTGTCTTGGGGCTGAGAAAACAGTCAGAGCCCTTTCACACCCACTGCTGCCTGCCTGTCCTTCGGCCCTACTACTTCAGGAAGGCCCCTCTTCCTCTCCTGCTTGGAATTCCTCTTTTTTTTTTTTAAGAGCTGTAAACCCTGCTCTGAGAGGCAGTAATTGTGAATCTTTTGTTGTACACAATCTCTGCCACACTCCTGGGGTTGCAAAGTTACTTTCTACTGCCAAGCACATGGGGCTTGGCCTTTTTCATTTATTGGAACATTTACAGTCAGAAAGAGAGGGCGGTGAGGTGTGTGTGGAGGGAGAGCCATAGAGACAGGCCCGCAGAGGGAGAGACCTAAAGAGAGAAGAATTGAAAGCAAGATCAGAGAGTTCAGGGAGAGAGAGAGGCAGGCAGATGACAGGAGGAGAAACAGGAAGTGGGAAAAAAACCCACGAAACAGTGAAAGCCTGAGAGGCAGCTGAGGTCCAGAGGAGCAAGAAGGAGGCACAGAGCCCGGGGCCAAGAGATGGGTGAAGAGGAGGGAGACAAACAGCAGAGGGATCAGACAGAGGCACACCTGTGAACCCGTGCAAACTGGGGAGAAAGGGAAGGAATATCAGCCGGGTGACCCCCAGTTCTCTGAGTCCTGCGGTACCCGCACACAGACCAGCCCGGAATGTTAATTACAAGCTGCTCCTCAACAATCATGAAAGCTGGCTGGTTCCCTGAAATGGAGAATGTGCATGCAGCATGGAGCGCCTCCCTGCCCTTCCCATGGAAGGGAAACAGCAGAACTTTTGGTGGATCACAAAGAGAGAAGCAAGACACA